CAGGGTCCAGAGGGCACTCGGTACCCAGACCCCCAGCCCACTCCCAACGTTCCAGAGGGCACTCGGTACCCAGCCCACGCCCCTTCCCTGGGTCCAGAGTGCATTCGGTACCCAGACCCCCAGCCCACTCCCCTCCCCAGGGTCCAGAGGGCACTCGGTACCCAGACCCCCAGCCCACTCCCAACGTTCCAGAGGGCACTCGGTACCCAGCCCACGCCCCTTCCCTGGGTCCAGAGTGCATTCGGTACCCAGACCCCCAGCCCACTCCCCTCCCCAGGGTCCAGAGGGCACTCGGTACCCAGCCCACACCCCTTCCCTGGGTCCAGAGGGCACTCGGTACCCAGACCCCCAGCCCACACCCCTTCCCTGGGTCCAGCAGGTACTCACCGCTCGGATCTCGCGCTCCTGCAGTTTGCTGTCACATGCGTAGCTATCATCTCTGTACGGACAGGGCACCTGTGGGTCAGTGCTGCTCTGGATCAGCTGTTTGAGACAATCTCTGCAGATGGCAGTCAGGCACAATGAAGATTATTAATGCCATCTCTGTAACATCCTTATGTAACCCTCCATCAACAACACCCGAGTGAACGGACGGAGGCCATTCAGCCCATCTTAGGTCACCTAAGCTTCAAATGTGTCATTCAACAAACCAGAACTCCTCCAATGCCTTCACATCACACTGGGCCTGGGAAGGCTCAGAAAAGGGCAGGGACAATGCCAATCTCCCCACCACAGGCATCAAACAGCCTGCAATGCTGTTGTAGGAAATGCAGCAGCAGCCAATTCACACACAGGAAGATCCCACTCGCCCAAAACAACATGGTGCCCAGAAACGGGTGTAATACATCAGTGAAAACCAAACGAGTGATTTTGTTTTTTTAAAAAACAGATTCACCAACACTCCTTTGCTTTTGGACTCTATCAACAAATCCAGGGATACCACACCGGTGTTTATAACTAACCTTCTCAACACGTGCACCCCAGCATTTCTTCATTCCTAGCCACTAAAACAGGATGCCATCTCATCAGTACCACCAAATGGTTGCTGAATTTCCTGCATCATAACAACACTGCAGGGTTATAGAGGGTGGTCATCCCATGCCCAGGAAAGGTGCCTGTGCTCAAGCTTAAGAGTCTCAGCCAAATGTGCAGGTTCTCCTCCAGGCAACTCAAAACCTCAAGGGGCAAAGGATGCTCCCAGGTGGAGAATTCTTCAGGTAGAGGGCTCATATTCCTTGAAGCACGCATGTGTATGGACCGGGCTGCCAGGGGAAGTGGTAGGGGCTGGTGTAATTAAAACATTTAAAAGGTACCTAGATGGGTATATGAATAGGAAGGGTTTAGACAGATACTGGCCAAGTGCTGGCAAATTAAATTTAAAATATCTGGTCAGCATGGACGAGTTGGACCAAAGGGTCTGTTTCCATGCTGTACATCTCTATAACACATACACAGGCATGAGGAAGGCAGTGGGATACCTGCTTACGTACTCTTTCCCAAGTCCCATCACTCAATTAAATTGAAATAAGAGGATCCCACAAGCAACTGAAGAGGGAAAAACAGGACTGAGGGGCAGGAAGACATGAGCAGAGGATCAGCCCTCTAGACAGATCATCACTACCACAGTCACTATGCTCCATTGACTGTAAAGTGGTTTAGGAAATCCTGGAGGTCGTGTTGGGGGTTTATAAACATATGGACCATGTTCCTTGTTATAGAGTACAACCACAACAGCTGGGGCCTGGTTGGTATATTACCCCGTAACTAGGTTTTTGAATGCGAGGTCCAAATAGTGAATCAATAGGCTATTTGGCCATAAGGCTTTCTCGGATAGGTGCAATCTGATCTTCCTCAGCTGCCCCACAGGGGAACAATCAGAAGCAGGAAGACTGGCCAACTGGCTGTGCACTGACAATTAGGGGTTTCGAGGCTCACTCTAAGGTTCCACTTTCCCTAACCACAACACAACCCAGTCCTGAAGTGCAGTCACACTGGCTTCAGGAATGAATGGCTCAGTGTCTCCCCCTAAACATTGCCTTCACCCTGCACAGTAGTGACTGCATTCCTGTCTAAGTAAACACAGGTTCAAATCCTTCCAGGGAAGCTGGAGAATTGCAAAACAATCTGAAAATGCAAAGTTGGGCCTCTGTAAGAATGACCATGAAACTGCTGGATTGACATCTTCAAAACCCAACAGATGCCCTTCCGAGAAAAAAAACCGATGTGGTTTTTGTGTGAATCCAGTCCCGCAGCAATGCAGCGCACTCTTCACTGGATCGATCTCATAATAAAGTGATGATTTATGGCACAGGAGGTCATTCAGCTCATCGAATCCATGCCGATTCTCTGCAGTGCAATGTCATCTGTCCCATTCCCCTGCTCTGTCCCTGCTCCAGAGAATAGGGTCCATTCAATTCCCTTTCAAAATCGATTATCCATATGTCCTTCCTGACCTTTCTGCAGCTTCTGACCTACATCATCCTCTTCCAGCACCTTACCGCTCATCCAGCTTGACGATAGGGGCCTCTGCTCCTGTCCCTACATGGTTATCCTAGATTGCTCCCCAAGGTTCGGGCTCCAACTCCTTCCTATTGCCCATCTACAGGCCGGCACTCAGTAATGGCTATAACCTCAACACCACCTCTCTCTCCCCAGACTCCTCTACTGTTACTGAGTTATCAGAATGTCTGCCTATCACCATTTAATGAGATTTCTGCTGACTCGTGACCTAACTTCATACAGGAGGTAGGTGAAGAACAATATCATAAGAACTAGGAGCAGGAGTAGGCCATCTGGCTCTTCGAGCCTGCTCCGCCATTCAATAAGATCATGGCTGATCTTTTCGTGGACTAAGATCCACTTACCCGCGTTCTCACCGTATCCCTTAATTCCTTTATTGTTCAAAAAAAATCTACCTTTTTTTTTAAAAGTGGTTACTGAAGTAGCGTCAACTACTTCACTGGGCAAGGAATTCCATAGATTAACAACCCTCTGGGTGAAGAAATTCCTTCCCAGTTCAGTCCTAAATCTGCTCCCTCTAATCTTGAGGCTATGCCCTCTTGTCCTAGCTTCACCTGCCAGTGGAAACATCCTCTCTACTTCTATCTTATCTATTCCCTTCATAATTTTATATGTTTCTATAAGATCCCCCCTCAATCTTCTGAATTCCAATGAATATAATCCCAATCTACTCAGTCTCTCCTCATAAGCCAACCCCCTCAACTCCGGAATCAACCGAGTGAACCTCCTTTGCACCCCCTCCAGTGTGTGTGAAAAGAGAAAAAGCAAAAGTACAGTGCAAAAAGAAAGGAGAGAAAGTTAAGGAGTTCCGACGATGACACGGCAGCAGCTGTAAGGGGGAGAAAGGCAGTTTGTGGGTCCTCGCACCTGCAGAAGGAGTGCAGGCAGTCTCGCAGCACAATGCCTTCCCCCAGCTTCACATCCGACAGGCAGATACGGCATTCAAAGGGCTCACAATTGAAGACGAGGTGCTGGCCATCAAGCTTCAGGAGGCTCTGATAATTCCGCAGGCGCCTTTCCTCCAGCTCCTGAAGTAAAAAAGTGAAAGCACAAACCAACAGCGTCACTGGTCGCTACACCACAGACCAGATTACATTACAGCTATCAAACAGGCCGCACTTAGAAAACCCAGAATGTCTACTCTTAATGCGTTTGAGCTCCACTTGTTAAACAATCGAGTGCACCAATAGCTACACCCAAATTGGTGGCACAATAGACAATGAAAAAGATTTTTTAAGATTATAAAGGGATCCCGATCAAATGGGTCAATGGGCTGAAAAATGGCAGGTAGAGTTCAATCTGGATAAATGCGAGGTATTGCATTTTGGTACAACAAGGGTAGGGCCTTTACAATTAAAGGCAGGGCCTTATGCAGCGTTGTAGAACAGAGGGACCTAGGGGGTTCAGGTACATAATTCTCTGAAGTTTGTGTCACATATAGACAAGTAGGTTAAAAAGGCATTTAGCACGCTTGCCTTTATTGCTCAGTCCTTTGGCTATAGGAGTTGGGACGTTGTGTTGAGGTTGTACAGGACATTGGTGAGGCCTCTTCTGGAATACTGTGTCCAGTTCTGGCTACCCAGATGTAGGAAAGATATAATTAAGCTGGAGGAAGCTCAGAAGAGATTTACCAGGAGGTTGCCAGTATGGAGGGTTTGAGTTCTAAGGAAAGGCTGGATAGGTTGGGATGTCTCTCACTGGAGCGGAGGAGGTTGAGAGGTGACCTTATGGAAGTTTATAAAATCATGAGAGGTATAGATGGGTTAATGGTAGGTGTCTTTTCCCTAGGATGAGGGGGCAGAAGGGGTTTCAAGAGAAGGGGACACTTTTTAAAGGTGAGGCGAGAGATTTAGAAAAAACATTAGGAGCAAATTTTTTTAGAGCATGTTTCGCATGCAGAATGAACTTCCTGAGAAAGTGGTGAATGTGGGTACAATTACAGTGTTTAAAAGACATTTGAATAAATACATGAATAGGAAAGGTTTGGAGGGATATGGGCTAGCAGCAGGCAGGTGGGACTAGTTTAGTTTGGGATTATATTCAGCACAGACTGGTTGGACTGAAGGGTCTGTTTCCATGCTGTATGATGCTAACAATTTATAAAATCAGTGAGTTAGCAACATGGCTCATTTATGCTGCTAGAAGCAACATACACAGGGAAGCCATTCTCAGCAAACAAAAAAAAAGTTCCAGTCTTGTGCCCTTTTTGAATTAAATGGGGAGGCATAGTGGTGCTGTAATATTGCTGTTGGAATAGTAATTCAGAGACTTAGGTTTGAATCCTGCTAAGGCAGAATCTCAATGAAACAAAATTCTGAAATTAAAAGACTGATGATGACTATGGACAATCTTCATATAAAATAAATATTGTATAAACCTGAGTAATATTCTTTAGGGGAGGAAATCTGCCATCCTTACCTGGTCTGGCTTACCCATGACTCAGACCCTGCAATGTCCTCATTACTAACATCCAAAAGCTAGTGATAAAATTGAGACAGCTGTCTCGCAGACTAGCCAAGCAATAGCCAGATATTCACACTCATGGAATCATACCTTACAGACCATGTCCCAGACACAGTCCAGGATGGTGATGGTTATATCCTGTCCCACCAGCAGATGGCAGAACAATGGGATACAGTTGGGAGGGATTTACAATGGGAGTTCTCAACATTGACAGCAAGCAATAAACAGGGCTAAGAGATTCCACAACTCAGGGATCAGATCTAAGCTATGCAGCCCTGTCACATTAGCTCTTGAATGGTAGATAATTAAACAACTTGCAGGAGTAGGAGGCTTTTCATATATACTCATCCTCAATGATGCTGCAAAAGTTGAGGCTGAAGCATTTGCAACAAGCAGCACCTGCTCAGCAATAACCTGCTCAGTGACGCCCAGTTTGGGTTCCGCCAGGGCCACTCAGCTCCTGACCTCATTACAGCCTTGGTTCAAACATGGACAAAAGAGCTGAATTCCAGAGGTGAGGTGGGAGTGACAGCCCTTGACATCAAGGCTGCATTCGACCAGGTGTGGCATCAAGGAACCCGAGCAAAACTGGAATCGGTGGGCATCAGGAGGCAAACTCTCTGGTGGTTGGAGTCATACCTGACACATAGGAAGATGGTTGTAGTTGTTGGAGGTCAATCATCTCAGCTCCAGGACGTCTCTGCAGGAGGTCCTCAAGGTAGTGCCCTCGGCCCAACCATCTTCAGCTGCTTCACCAATGACCTTCCCTCCATCATAAGGTCCATTGATTAAAAAATGTTCAATACCATTTGTGACTTCTCAGGTACTGAAGAAGTCCATATTCATATGCAACAGGATATGGACTATATCCAGGCCTTGGGCTAAAAATTAGCAATTGACATTCAAACTGCACAAACATCAGACAATGACCATTCCCAATAAAAGACAAATCTAACCAATGCCCCTTGGCATTCAATGGCATTATCATCACTGAATCCCCCCATTACCAACATCCTGGAGGTTACCATTCACTGGAAAATGAACTGAACCAACCATATCAATACAGTGGTTATAACAGCAGGCCAGAAACTGGGAATACTGCGGCACCTCCTGACTCTCCAAAGTCTGTCCACCATCTACAAGGCACAAGTCAGGAGTGGGATGGAATACTCCCCACTTGCCTGGATAGGTGCAGCTCCAACAACACGCGAAGCATCGTATCCACAAACATCCAATTCCTTCACCAGTGAAGCTCAGTATCAATAGCATATACCATCTACAAGACGCACTGCAGAAATTTGTTAAGAGTGCTTAGATAGCATTTTCCAAATCCATAACAAACACAGAAATTGTTTGAGAAACTAATCAGGTCTGGCAACACCTGTAGAGAGAGAAACGGAGTTAATGTTGAGTCTGAAATGACTCTTCTTCAGAAGGAGTGTCATTAACTCTGTTTCTCTCCCCACAGATGCTGCCAGACCTGCTGGGTTTCTCTGGCATATTTGCATTTGTTTTGGATTTCCAGCATCTGTAGTATTTTGCTTTTAAATTTTCTTTCTAAATCAACAATCACTTTCATCCAGAAGGACAAGGACAGCAGATACATGGGAACACCACCACCTACAACTTCCCCTCCGATCACTCACCGTCCTGCCTTGGAAATATATTGCTGTTCCATCACTGTCGCTGGGTCAAAATCCTGGAATTCCCTCCTTAAGGGCATTGTGCGTGTGTCTACCTACACTACAGGGACTGCAGTGGTTCAAGAAGGCAGCTCACCACCACGTTCTCAAGGGGCAACTAGGGATGGGCAAGAAATGCTGGGCCCAGCCAGTGGCACCCACATCCAGGAGCTGGGGGTTGCATAGATCCCCACTGCTTTCTCCATGGTAACACCTTAGCCTATCAGAGTTGACTTGCCAACCAGCTATTTCCTTTTCCTCCAATTGTATAAATGATTGTTACATAGAAATGGTTTAAAGAGGGTACAACATGGATTTGTCAGAAATGAAATGTCTAAAATGAGGAAGTAAATACAACTAAAGACTTGTAATATATCTTTAATTTTGTGCACAGAAGAGAGATAATGGGTGAAAGTTCTGAAGATTACAGCTGTTTGGAGTAAGGTACATAAGACAATAATTATTTCCAGTAGTCAAGCATTTGATTCTTATTGTAAACACAGTGGTGTTATTGAAACTTTCCATCTTGTACATATCAGGACAAATGCAAGAATGCCATAATACAAATGCATCACACCAACGCATGTTTCAGGAAAAAAGGAGGCTGATTTGGCAAGTCATAACAAGGTGTAGAGCTGGATGAACACAGAAGGCCAAGCAGCATCAGAGGAGCAGGAAGGCTGACGTTTCGGGCCTAGACCCTTTCTTGTCCGTCCCTAGTTGCCCCTTGAGAAGGTGGTGGTGAGCTGCCTTCTTGAACTGCTTTTTCTGAAGGAGGGTCGAGGCCCGAAACGTCAGCCTTCCTGCTCCTCTGATGCTGCTTGGCCTGCTGTGTTCATCCAGTTCTACACCTTGTTATCTCAGATTCTCCAGCATCTGCAGTTCCTACTATCTCTGATTTGGCAAGTCAATTCTGATTGGCCTAGATTACCATGCTGAAACAATGGGGGTCAATCAGCTTTTCAAGATCCCTGTTTACTCCACGGGAATGTCTCAAACCAGTCAACTTGCCAACCTTCATTCTCCTACAGTATAAATTCTTGTGATAGTTTGAAATTTAACATTATTGTGCATGTCCTGACGCACGCCAGACAAACAGTTTCTGCAATGTCTCTCTTTTTAATAATCTACAGCAATAATAATTGTAGTGGGTTCGAATCCCAACGTAGCAGATGGTGGAATTTGAATTCAATAAAATACAATCTGGAATTACAAATCTACTGATCACTGAAATTATTGTCGATTGTTGGAAAAACTTACCTAGTTCACTAATGTTCTTCATGGTAAGAAATCTGCCACTCTCACCTGGTCTGGCCTACATGTGACTCCAGACCCACAGCAATGTGGTTGACTCTCAACTGCCCTCCGAAATGGCCTAGCAAGCCACTCCCTTGTATCAATCACTAAAAAGTCCCAAAGAAACGAAACTGGACGGATCACCTGGCATCGACCTAGGCACCAGAAAAGACAACAGCAGAAACAGCCCTGTTGACCCTGCAAAGTCCTGCTCACTAACATCTGGGGGTTAGTGCCAATGTTGGGAGAACTGTCTCACAGACTAGTTAAGCAACACCCTGACATTGTCTGTAAGGTATGATTCTGTGAGTATGACTATGTCCCAGACACCACCGTCACTATCCCTGGATATGTCCTGTCCCACCGGCAGGATAGACCCAGCAGAGGGGGCGGCACATGGGATACAGTCTGGAGTGAGTTACTCTGGGAGTCCTCAATATTGACTCCAGACCCCCATGAAGTCTCGTGGCTTCAGGTTAAACATGGGCAAGGAAACCTCCTGCTGATTACCACGTACCGTCCTCCCTCAGCTGGTGAATTGGTACTCCTTCATGTTGAGCAACACTTGGAGGAAGCACGGAGGATGACAAGGGCACAAAATGTACTCTGGGTAGGGGATTTCAATGTCCACCGCAAAGAGTGGCTCGGCAGCAGTACTACTGATCGAACGGGTCAGATCCCAAAGGACATAGTTGCTAGACTGGGTCTGCAGCAGGTGATGAGGGAACCAACAAGAGGGAAAAACATACAAGACCTCATCCTCACCAATCTGCCAACTGCAGATGTATCTGTCCATGACAGTATCGGTAAGAGTGACCATCACTCTGTCCTTGTGGAGATGAAGTCCCGCCTTAACATTGAGAACAACCTCCATTGTGTTGTGTGGCACTACCATCGTGCTAAATGGGACAGACTTCTCACAGATCTAGCAACTCCAGACTGGGCATCCATGAGACGCTGTGGGCCATCAACAGCAACAGAATTGTACTCCAGCACAATCTGTAACCTCATGGCCCGGTATATCCCCCACTCAACCATTACCATCAAGCCAGGGGATCAACCCTGGTTCAATGGAGAGCGCAGGAGGGCAGGCCAGGAGCAGCACCAGGCATACCTGAAGAGGAGGCATCAGCCTGGTGGAGCCACCAAACAGGAATACTTGCACGCCAAACAGCGAAAGCAGTAAGTGATAGACAGAGCTAAGTGATCCCACAACCAATGGATCAGATCTAAGCTCTGCAGTCCTGCCACACCCAGTTGTGAATGGTGGTGGACAATTAAACAACCCACTGGAGGAGGAGGCTCCACAAATATCCCCATCCTCAATGGTGAAAGAGCCCTGCACATCAGGGCAAAAGATAAGGCTGAAGCATTCGCAGCAATCTTCAGCCAGAAGTGCCAAGTGGATAATCCATCTCTCCATCCTCCAGTGGTCCCCAGTGTCACAGATACCAGTCTTCAGCCAATTCAATTCACTCCACGTGATATCAAGAAACGGTTGGAGACACTGGATACTGCAAAGGCTACAGGCCCTGACAACATTCCAGCAATAGTACTGAAGACTTATGCTCCAGAACTTGCCGCTCCCCTAGCCAAGGTGTTCCTGTACAGTTACAACACTGGCATCTACCCGACAGTGTGGAAAATTGCCCAGGTACGTCCTGCACACACAAAGCAGGACAAATCCAACCCAGCCATTTACCGCCCCATCAGTCTCCTCTTGATCATCAGTAAAGTGATGGAAGGTGTCTGTAACAGCGCTATCAAGCAGCACCTGCTCAGCGACGCCCAGTTTGGGTTCCGCCAGGGTCACTCAGCTCCTGACCTCATTACAGCCTTGGTTCAAACATGGTCAAAAGAGCTGAATTCCAGAGGTGAGGTGAGAGTGACAGCCCTTGATATCAAGGCTGCATTCGACTGAGAGTGGCATCAAGGAGCCCGAGCAAAACTGGAATCAATTGGTATCAGGGGGCAAACGCTCCGGTGGATGGAGTC